TTAGATTAAAGAAACAAAAAATCATAATTTTTAAGAAATTCTTTATGTTTTTTGTTGTTGTTGAAAATGGTGTGTATGCAGGCCTTACGATACAATAATGGGCCAGACTCAAACAAAGAATAAAAGCCCATAAAGCCCAGAAGACACCCAAACAGTTTTTTTTTTGTTTTTTGCACATTTCAAGATAAACGAAGCCAAACAGAGACGCGTTTCGATTCGACGTTTGCCTTATCCGTTCAGCTCTTCTTCTTCTTTTTCGTCGCCTCTGAATTACTTTTCCAGAATCTCTGCAAATTTTCAAAGAATTAGAGAAAAATGGCGCAGATGGTTGCGATGCCTGTAGCTCACTCGCTCTCACTCATTTGCAATTTGACCAAATCCAATCCTCTCTCTCGCAACACTCTTGCTTTGCCATCTCCAGTCACTCCCAATGTAATACCAATACCTCAACGATTCATTCTCTCTTACGTGTGTTGCAATCGAATTTCTCGATTTTTCATTTCTTAGGTGTTTTGAACCCTAAGAAGAAGCCCATCAATTTGGGGGATTTGTCTCTTTGTTTTTTAGGGTTTTGGTTTGTTTGTGTGTTGAATTGCAGAAGCAGAATCTAAGCATTAGATGTGCTCGTGTTGGAGGTGTGGAGATTCCGAGTAACAAGAGAATTGAGTACTCTCTTCAGTACATTCATGGGATTGGTCGAACTAGAGCTCGTCAGATTCTCGTTGATCTTCAGATGGAGAACAAAATCACCAAAGACATGGCTGAGGAAGAACTCATCATTCTTCGTGATGAAGTCTCCAAGTATATGATCGAGGGTGATCTGGTATGTATACACACACAATCCTCCTACATCCTTTTGCTTTCTACCTCACTGAGTAATAATGTTCATAGTAGCTGTATATCTTGTATCACTTCTTGAGCTTGGAGAAGAAGAACTTAAAACTACTCTCTTTTTGCTGTTAAATTGCTTTAGTTTGTGGTTTTCATTTGTGTTCTTTACGCTTTAGAGAATGAAAGTTGTGATTTTTGTGTGGTGTTTGTTGTGCAGAGGAGGTTCAATGCGCTTGCGATCAAGAGGTTGAAGGAGATTCAATGTTACCGTGGGGTTAGGCACATCCAAGGATTGCCATGTCGGGGACAGAGAACGAAGAACAATTGCAGGACTCTTAAAGGCAAGAAAATTGCAATTGCAGGGAAGAAGAAAGTTTCCAAGTAAGCATCTTCTTGATTTCCTTGTTCTGTAATTCTCTTTTTTTGTTTGTCTAGTTTCTATGTTGTGATATGTAATCCTCAAAACTTGGTTCGAATTGAGCCCTTTCCAGATTATCTTCGGATTTTTGGTTATTATTATTCCATATCTTCATCATTTTATTATAAAGTTACAGAAAAAGGTTGAAGTATTCAGAATTCAAGAAGAATCAAACCAAGAAAAAACTTGAAAATTTGGTCAAACCAAGATGGTTTATTAAGAATACGTACATATGAATACATTAGTAACCCAAAAAAATAAAAATTGATAATTTTGCAAAAAGACTCGATTCGGATCGTCTCTAATCCTAGGAAGAACACTTTGCTATCATACAAAAAGGAAGAAAATGAATAAAAAATAATAATACCATGGTCAAATTTCAGTATGAGAACTCATGGCCGCGGATCGAAATGTACTTCTTGACCCAAATGGCAATATCCTCGGCACAGGCCTGCGCCTGAGGAGTCTTGAGAAGCATATCAAGAGTTGCAAAGTCATGGACTGCGTCTTTATATTCTAAAACCGGAGAGTCTACGTTTACCTTTCTAAGCTCCTCTGCATAAGCAATGGCTCGGTCTCTCATCCAGTCATGCTCAGCTACTACTGTAAGCGTTGGAGGCATTAGCTTCAGAGGTGGTCCAATGCGGTCATGGGCAAGTGGGTTTGCCGCCGGGTGGTCAAAGTCGAACTCTTTCTCTGGTAAGAAGAGTTTCCAGGCGAGAACAGAGATGGGTTTATCGTAGAAGTAAGAGTTTGCCAGCTTTATTTCGGACTGTGTCGGGTTGTTTCCGATGAAAAAAGGGTACATTAGAACCTGTGCAACAACTTTCACCGGGTCTAAAAGCTTCCCTGCCTCCACGGCTTTCCGAGCTACATAGTCTGCTATGTTCCCACCACAGCTCACCCCAAGAAGCACACATCTGTTTTAAAACCATACGAATAAACAAGCTGAGAAACAACTTTTGATGGAAAATTTGCAAGCAATCTAACTAGTTCTCCATATAACCTTTGTTCCTAGTTCTTCATAGATCAACTCGAAATTACTCTAAAGATCTAATCTGCCGAAATGAGTCTAAGTTCCATAAAGCAATCTCTTCAAACAATTTGAATCAAAGCATGTTCTAACTTCAATAAACATATAAAGGCTTCATGGATCACATCTGCCTATGCCTAACTCTAGGTGTCTCTAGCTCACACTCCTAGCAATACTTCCTCGGTCATTAGCAAAAAGCAGGCAATTTTACAATTACAAACCTGGAAGGATCTCCATGAGCTGCGAGCCAAGGCTCAACCATGGAAGCTCCAAAAGCATCTACAATCTGTCCTTGAACATTCATTTTCTTCAACTCAACGCCATTAACGCGTCTATTACCAAGAGACTTACAACATTCAGCTAAATTAGCCTGTTTCCCAAGCCAATTCAGCACTTTGACTCCGTCTTCAAACGCCGCAGGGTACCGATTCTCAGGTGCAAGCCTATAACCTACGGCCAATACAATAACGTCGCATACTTTGGCGATTCGCCGGCAAAAGAAGTCATTAGCCGCCGAATCAGAACTTCCACTGACCCAACCACCACCGTGAAACTGCAACATCACTGGAAGTTTTCTAGAATTCCTCCTCGGAGGTGGCGCGTAACCACCGTACGATTCTAGATTCTCCGTGTTGCATCCATAGCTATTCCTTCGAGACTCGTTCCTCTCCTCCGCAGGATTCTGATTAAGAGGACCGTGACTGTGTCTCCGATCGGATCTGGGTTGGTTGGTCGGAGAAAGAGCAGATTCAGGGAGAAAGATCCTTACCGTGAGTGACGTCATCGGATCAATGTGTATATCTTTGGTCGCAACACCGTCGGTGAAAGAAGGATTAGCGGCGGCGACGGATTCATCGGATCGGGTCGAAACACCGAACGAATCAGATAACCCATCAGCTGAAATCGAAATCAGATTCTGTAGACGATGTTTCAAAAGTAACTTGAAGAAGACGCTATATAGTTTCACAGCTACGCTTGGCATTTCCCTCTCAACCACAAAAAGAAAAAAACCAAACTTTATTCCAATTGGCAAATCCGAAATTTCTTCAAGAGTTTGATCTTTAAGGTGT